GCTCTTCTTTCTCTAGAAGCTTGAGGTTCAACATTAGGTTGTTTATATGAACCTGCTCTGTTTTCCTGGTATGGGAATTCACTGCAATCAGTTTCCCTTGTAGGACTGCTTTCATTGCATCCCAAATATTCTGGTATGTTGTATTGTTTTTATCATTTAATTATAGAAATTGTCTGATTTCATCTTTAATTTCATCTGTGACCCATTGGTTGTCCAAGAGGGTGTTTTGTAACTTCCATGCATTTATGCAGTTCTTGTGGTTTCTTTTGCCATTGATTTCCAATTTCATTGCACTATGATGTGATAATATGCAATTATTTCAATTCTTTTCATTTACTTAAGCATTTCTATGAGCCAGTATATGGTCTATCTTGGAGAATGACCCATGTGCAGCTGAGAAGAATGTGTATTCTGATGTTGTGGAGTGGAACGCTCTGTAGACAACTACTAAGTTCATTTCTAATATTCTAGTATTTCATTGTTGATTTTTTGTCTAGTTGGTCTATTTGTGAAAGTGGGGTGTTGGGATCCCCCATTACAACTGTATTAATGCTTTTATGATTTTGCATGTCCATTAATATTTGTTTTCTATAGTTGGGTCCACTGCTATTTGGTGCATATATTTTTATTTTTATTTATCTCTTCCTCTTGGATTGTTCCCTTTACCAGGATGTAGTGACCTTTTCTGTCTCTCTTAATCAGTCCTGGCTTGAGATCCACTTTGTCTGCAAATAGAATAGTTACCCCTGATTTTTTCCAAGTTCCTATCACATAGAATATTGTTTTCCATCCCTGGACATTCAGTCTATGAATTTATTTTTGAATTAAATGTGTTTATTGTATGCAGCATATTGTTGGATCTTGCTTTTTGATCCATTCTGCCAGTCTGTTTCTTTTGATTGGTGAATTGAGACCATTAACATTGACGGTTATAACTGATATGTATTGTCTTATCTCTATCATGTTATTTTCCTGCTGTTGGCTTCCTTCTTTTTATTTTCTGCTTAATTTCTTGCCTTGCCTGGTGGATTCATTCTGTTGGGGTTCATGGAGTTGTAATTCTTTTTGTACCTTTCTAGAATATCCTTCAGAACACTTTGGAGTGCTGGTTTGGTGGTCATGAATTTCTTCAGGTATTCTTTGTCATGGAAGTATCTTATTTTCCCATCACTTTTGAAGGATAGTTTTGCAGGGTACATCAGTCTGGGTTGGATGTTGTTTTCCTTTAGGGTTTGAAATACTTCACTCCAAGCCCTCCTTGACTTGAGAGTTTGTGTTGAGAAGTCTGCTATGATTCTGATGGGCTTTCCTTTATAGGTATTTTTGTTTCTTTTCTCTAACAGCTTTTAATATTCTGTCCTTGTGCTGAATTTCTGGAATCTTGACTCTTGCATGTCGTGGGAAAGATTTTTTTGATCATGGATAATTAGAGTTTTATATGCTTCACTACTCTCTATATCAAATTGTTTTTCCCTGATTGGGAAGTTTTCTGCCATTACTTCTGAGAACAGTTTCTTTATGTCATTTGTGCCATCTCCTGCTTTTTCACTGATTCCAATCAACCTTATGTTATTTTTTGCATTATCTAGCAGTTGCTGGATTTATTTCTTGTGGTTCCTTGCTATTTTTAAGAAATCTTTCTTTTCGTGATCGCTGACTGCAATCTTGTCATCTCTGTCTCATATTCTGTCTTCACATTGGCTCATTCTGCTATGTATACTTTCAGTGGAGCTTTTAATCTCCTGGATATCTGCTTGAGTCTGTTTCATGGATTCTACTTTTTTCCTATGCTGGACATTCATGGTTTCCATCATGTTCCTGAGCTCCTCTATTTTAAAAATCAGTATCTTTCATTCTGGACACCATCTTTGTAGTTATCGGGGAAATTATTTCTGCTTTGACTTTTTTCTTGAGCCTCATTCATCTACTGTTACCACTTCAGAGAGTCCAGGTGGGTGGCTTTCTGATTTTTCCACTTCATTGCCCCTGGGGTTTGCCTTTCATGAGCTGAAAGTCTGGGCGGGGGTTGCAACTTGTTTAAATATGTTCTGATTTTCTTTCCTTTTTGTTTTTAAGTTTGATTCCTGTGTTGATGCTTGTAAATTCCTTATGGTGAGTAGCTTTATTGCCAGTATTCAGAACCCTTAGGAAATGACTACTTCTCAGAAGTGTCTTCCTGGCATAGCTAGCTTCTGGGTTTTGAGTCTGTTGCAGGATCCTACCTCCTTAATTTACTGGGCATGAGAAGTTTCTGCCTACTTAGCCCAGCTGCCAGTTCTTTGGCACTTGCCTATAGGTTGTTTTTGTTTTTAAAAGACCCCTGGCAATCTCAGTCTTGGAATATCAGAAGCCACGACTGATTAGCACAATTAGTCACCTTGGCTAAGGTAGTACAATCAACAATAACAATAGCATCAAATACAGCCTAGAGAGTGACAAAACTATAGCCCTTAATATGGCAATTTTACTTTTAGGAGAGAAGATTTAAAAGGTGTTAGGGAGTGAAAAACAGAAAGAGAAGAGGAAGAGATCAGAAGCAAGGCTGGAGGACAAACTTTAGGAAACTGGTGAAGAAGACAGGTGGGAAAGAGAAAAGGAAAAAATAAAAACAAGAACAGAACAACAACAAACTAGAAACTATGTTCAAACAGTCAGACAAAACTAAAAAGAGAAAATAAGAATAGAAAGGAGGAAGAACAGAAAGAAAAGAGAGAGAGAGAGAGAGAGAGAGAGAGAGAGAGAGAGAGAGAAAAACAACCCCCCAAAACAACCAATGCAAGGTGTGTCTCTGCTGTCACTGTTAGGCATTGTGGGCAAACAGAGTCCACAGCCAAACTGATTAATCCCAGCAAGCTAGCTGCAGCTTCACCGTGGGGTAGTGGCTAATCCCAGCCAGCCTGCCCCTTTAGTTCTTCTGAAGCTCAGGCCAGTTTCTGGCTACAATGCTGGACCCAATTCTTCGAGCCTACAACAGTCTATGTATCTCCTGTCAGTTTGAACTCCATTCCTTGATCTCCTGTTGATTTGAACTCAGCACCCACTCTGAGGCACTACAAGCCACTAGGTGGAGTCTGCCCACAGCTCTTCCGAGTTCCAAGCTCAGTTGGCTCCTCTCCAAGATGGCTACTGGCCAATCACCCTCTCCTGGGTGAGGTCAGAATCCAAATAAGTACCAGCTGCTGCAGTCTGGTTTGTCCACTGCTTTGTTCCCCTGGTGTGTTTCTCTGTGGAAGCCTCTGAGGTCATCAGTAGTCACTGTGTGTCTGCAGTTTTGGCCCACAGTTCCCTCTTGAAGAGTCCGGGATCTGGGCGAGAGCAATGCTTGGAACCTTTGTTCTCTTTGTTAAATTCTCTCTCTTCACTCTTCCCGTAGACTTGAATTCTCACCTCAGATCCTTCCTGGGTCCTGGGACTCACTTCCCTCCTCCTCCTCCTTTTTGCACTGTTATATTCCAGTGTAAGGACATCAAATCTCAGAGAAACTCTTTCTCTGCTGCTCATCACTCCACCCTCTAAGGGTAATATTTTTAATATTAAGAAAGATTTATTTTATTTATCCAAATAAGTATTTTAAAGTGAGGACCAGACACCTATAATCCCCGCACTTGGGAGGCTGAGGCAGGAGGGTCACCACGAGTTCAAGGCCAGTTGGGTCACACAGTGGCCTGAACTGCAGACTGAAACCCTGTTTCAAAAAAGAAAAGTGAAGACCAGTTTAATACCTCAGCCCATTCAAAGTGCTTTGTAGCTGAATGTGGCAAGAGATTGTGTCTGAGGTCACATGCAGAACCACAGCCATTCTAGCTAGGACAGAGGTGCAGGACAAAATATTAAATCACCCTTCAATCTTACTTTCTTTGTTCTTCCTCTTCTTCCTTCCCCCTTCTCCTTCTTTAATAAAATCAGTTTATATGAAATGATCAAAGTGAAAAACTACTAAACCTCCCTTTTCCCTCATAAAGCTAAACAGCAAAATTCATGGTCAAGTGAATTAAAGGAGTCCGTTTCTTCTTGCTCAATAAGTACAGGGCTTTGATTTTAAAATTATGAATTTCTATTATAATTTTAGGGGAGAAATTTTCTTTCCAACATGACTTCACATATATTCAGGAAAACGTCAAGTTGTAACTAGATTTTTTACATTCTCAGTAACTGACCAAATTGTGGCTGAAGGCTAAATTAACCTTCCTTGAGGTTTGGTCCCGGCTAAATGTGTGTGTGGGGGGAGTAATTGTAGAATGGACATGATGACTTGTAGGAAATACTTGGGAATACCCCAAGACCCCAGAGTGAATGGGAACCCTGCTCTACTTCACTGAAGAAAGAGGAAGAAAAAACTATCTTCATTGGGACAAACTGGCCACAAAGAAGGCAATGGGGTGTGGAGGATGGATAACAGCTTTTTTCCTGCGCAAGGACCACTGCTCCCAAACAGTCCCTAAACAGCTTCAGGGGTGTAGACATGCTTATGACCTTACACTTCAGATCTGGAGCCCAGGCACAGGGTTTGTAACCTGTGCACACATGTTGTAGGCAGCTGGGAGCTGATAAGTTCAACCATGATGTATTCATCTACGTAGCCACGCTCCTCTGTCGGACGCACAAGCTCTCTGAACAACAAAGCAGTTGAAACATTTCTCTCCCTCCTTCCTTCCTTCCTTCCTTCCTTCCTTCCTTCCTTCCTTCCTTCCTTCCTTCCTTGTCCAAAGTCCAACGTTTGCTCTGTCTGATCACCAGTCTTATAAGCCCTCATTGCTGCAGGACTGGGACAAAGAGATGATGCTACAGTCTGGTTTCTATGGCAACAGGGGAGGGGTAATGACAACTGGAAACACCCATTCTGACAATTGTGACACAATTCAGATTATTACAGGGACGTAACTACCAAAGAAGCAGGAGTGGCATTACCTTTCAGCTCATGTCGACAAAAAGCTACACTGCACATTTCTCTTAGTGGAGCTGCTAAGAGGAAGGAAACACCGACACACACACACACACACACCAACACACACACACACACAGAGGCTTCGTTTTCTGCATGTAAAATGTGTGTGTTCTTTAAAGCCAGTGGTTGGCTGGTTTTCCGGACATGATGTGGTCGAAGCTGTCATCGTAATGGAAATTCATTGCTGTAGCTATGGTAAATCGAGTGTTCAGCCTGTGCTGAATGCATTAGTCTAATGAGATGTTTGCAGCCAGAGAACAGGGCTGCTGGAGACTAACTGTGAGCTACTAGCACCCGGCAGAAGACAGCTTTTGCAATACTTGGGTTGCATGTGCCGAAAGCCGTCTGTCTTCTGAGCCAACACCCTCCGTGTGGTCAGCACCTTGATCAGGGCCGTGGTGAGCAAGCCGTAGGTAAGGGAAGCACACAACTGGAGGGTGTGCCACTGACTCGGGTCCTTCTCTTTGAGCTGTCAGTGTGACAGGCTACCTGCTGTAGCTTTGGGGGTTGCATGCATACCTCTAAGGCAATGCATGAGTGTCCTGCTCTATGCCCATGAGCCCAGCAGTTCCTCCTGTGCAAATACAAGATTTGATTTCTTCACCAGGACTCAGAGAGGGAGAGTATACATGTTATACATTTTGGATATATACACATTCAATGCTCCTTAACTCTGCCTTGAAATACATAGAAAACTGTTTTTTTTTTTTTTTTTTCCAAAATAGAAAACTGTTTTTTTTTTTTTTTTCAAATGTGAATTCAAATGATTGGCTAACATTTTTCCACAGTAATTTTGCTTTGCCTTGCTTTCTTTCAAATTAGAAATTACACTATGTCTTGGGGTAAAAATATTTACCTAAAATTTGGTTGTTAAACATTATGAACATGTCAAAGTATTGATTTTTAAGTAGATTTTATTTTTAATATCTCAGGTAAAATATTTCACATCTTTGTGCTGGTTTCAGTTAATGGGTGTGTGGTGGGGGCGCAAAACCTGGGGTCCGTGGGGTGTTTAGAAGTTTTCCCAAGTTCAAACACAAGGTGCCCTGTCCCAGGTGGAGTGCTGCGCGGCTGAACCAGCTTCCGCTTGTCCCTGTGCAGCTGGTGGTGCCCTCTCCAGGTCACTCGTCGGTGTGGACAGGACAGGTAAATGAGGGTGGGGTGCTGGCTGTGTGGAGTGAGTCAGGCCGTGTGCTGTACCCGATGTTCTTCCCGCTGTCTGTGACGGCAAGTGCGAGGTGGCTTGTGCTGTCTACAGATTCTGCAGACTCTGAGACAGTGGCTTTTGGGTTGGTCACAGCACTGTGCCAGGAGACAACTCCGAGGCAAGGTCATCTGGGTGCTTCGGAATCGAGGCGGTACTTGTCTGCTCTGCCTTTTTCTTCCTTTTTCACCTGAGGAACCCTCTGAAGAGAGAGGGGCATGGTTGCTTCTTTCCTTGAGAGTTTGTTTTTCTTAAAGTAGGATATGTGGAAGGAAAGCAGAAAAATAATGACACAGGCATTCATTGTGTGGTGAACGGCCTGGCGGGTCCAGCATTTGCGGAGCGTTTTTGTGTGTGTGTGTGTGTGTGTGTGTGTGTTGCTTGGGATCAGCTTGAAAATGTGATAAAGGGACGGGAACGACAGCAGAGGACAACCTAGAAAAACAGTATTGAATGATCATCAAAACAAATAAAATTTAGAGGCTTCATTTCAGGAACTTGTTTGGTGGCTTCAAAATCTACCTTTTAAACATATTTGTGACATACTTTAAAAAAATATGAGTGTGCTTTTTACAAGCTCTTAAAATTGTGTATGTGGAAGAGCTCTGGTATAGTTTTGTAATTTTTTGTTTTGTTTTGTTTGTTTTTTTGGTACTGGGGATCAAACTCAGGACCTTGCACTTGCAAAGCAGACGATAAAACCACTGAGCTAAATGTCCAGCCCGCTGGTATAGTGTTAAAAATTTATTAGTCTGCTTGATTTGTAAAACTTATTTTTAAAAGCACAGATCCCACAAAAACCCAATTGTTTTATGTTTAAGATGTTTATGCTTCTCATGTGTCACCAAAATTACTTCTGTTTGCTGGCAAAGAGAAAGAGAAAAGAGAAAAGAAAGAGTAAGTAAGAAGATAAGAAAACAGTAAGAGAAAGGAGCACATTGCCCCCACTCCTGTTTTTGCTCTACGTGATTTCGGCAGTCGAAACCTGAAACCCACAGGAGCAGTTTCACTTTCTGGCTTTGGGTCCCTGGTGAGGTCACAGACTCTCCTCTGGTGCCAGGTAAGCTGGGCACATCCATGGCCAGGAAACAAGCCAGCTTCAGATTCTGTCACACAGTTCCAGTAAGAACTTCGATCCTGAGGATTTTTTAAAGTAATGACTTTTTTTTTTTTTGGTACCAGGGATTGAACTCGGGTCCTTGCGCTTGCAAGGCAGGCCACCGATCCGCTGAACTAAATCCCCGGCCCTAGTAATGACTTTTTAAATGTTCAAAATATTTGTTTATGACAAAAATTCAAGCCGTAACCCAAAGGAAGGAGACTGAGGTATTGTACTTTAAAAACTCTTAACTGATCAGGAAAATCTCCACCGGACTGTCTAAATCTCTAGTTATGTGGGGGCATATTTATTTACTTATTTTTAATCTCACTTTTGGGTCCCGATTACTTATTTTTGACAAGTTTAAGGAAACTCTCTGAAATCATAGCTAGGCGTGCCCTGAGAGGAATAATCTTTGTATGTCATAAATCTGGAAGTTAAATATAGAGTGTTTCATACCACAGGTCTGTTTACAATTTTGCGAACAGCAGTTGGGCCGGGCAGAGGTGGTGACTGAGTTGCCGACTCCCCCTGGGAGCCCTGGTAGAGTTCTGTGAAAGCTTTTCTCCTCCCCAAGTCACACTGTGGACCCAGGCAGCGGAACTGTGCTCCCTTTGCATATGTCCTGGAAACGGCCCGTGGGAGCACTGGAGAATGACCATGCGTGCTCCTGACACTGTGTTCCTCAGGCTGGGGGCTTCAGGCTTCCTGCACTTGCAGTCATTCTTCCGCAGACCCTCAGATTATGTCTGAGGCTGGAGGGGAAGAGGAGATGAAGGAAGACCCTCCACCCAGGTACTCATCAAGGAGCATGAGAACCTGGGGATGGATGGCATTCGAAATGAAAGCTGTTCTCTCTGGTGTGAACACACAAGCTTCTTTTTTTATTGGCAGGTGAATTTCACATTCCTAAGAGAGAGCATTTTAAAAATGCTTCCCTGGACACCTTACTTCTTAATCCTGCCATCTCCCTAAAGGGTAGTTTGAGGTTTACGTGGTTTTTTAAAAATGCATCTGTTGCTTTCAAAGACAGGTGAGAAATGATGAGGGGAATTAAAAACAGCCCCTGGGAGAAAAACCAAATGGTTGGGTACAAATATAATATATCAGAAGCCACCAGGGTGCCTAATAAATTACTCTTAATTTTAATTAATGAGTCACAAATACCATGCCACAAGCTTTAAAACTTACAACTTTATCAATCAGGTGATAATTAACTTTCTCTGGAATTAGCAATTCTCTGAGCTGGGCAGTATGCTGCCTGGTAAGTTCTCTAGGATGCTGCCAATATTAAACAATTGGTCTTTTGGCAAACCTAGTGGATTTTAATTCAAATATCTATGGCGACATTTTCTGACACGATTCAAAGACCGTTAAGATGACCCCAATCCTAAAATTTTTGAGATCGAAAGAGTAGTTCAGAGCGTTCGGATGGCATCTGATTCTGTCACTTTCTCTTTCTTCATTTTTCCTTTCCTACCTTTCCCCTTCTAAACCTCTGCATGTGCAAGCAAGAGTGATGCCCTCATCTCTGCTCTAAATCTCTGTGGGACTCTGCTTAAGTCGCGGGGCAAAGCCTGTGCCGGTTGCTGCGCCCACACCCGGTCCGCGTGCCTTCGAAGTGCTCCTCACTGCTGCCGCCTTCATCTTGGTTTCCGTTCTGGCAGATGTTTGTCACCTCGCGTTTCTCAAACCTCGCTCAAGCTGTGTTAGGCTGAGACCTGAAGCAGGGGATCTGGGGCAGAAGGGCCGGCAGGACCCACCCAGCCCAGGCAGTTGGGAATTTAGCTTACTCTGATTTGTGCAGAGTAATCCCTGCAGAAGCACAGAAGCCCTTGGCATCTCGGAGAAGCATGTGCTACAACTCTCAGACACACACGCGCATGCACGCACTTCCCAGTGCTGCTGGACACCGCTGGGCAGCATTGGAGGCAGCCTCACAGCCACACCCGCTGGAAGACTGGTCATGGATGCAAATCACTCCCCAGCAGTCACCGGAGCCTTCGATGCTCGCGTGGTTGGGCACCTGCTTCTGGCAGCCAGGTTACTTGGCCAAGATGGGGTAGGAGTGACCAGTCTTCCTGCTGGTTGGGGGACAGTCTGTCAGACACAAGAACATCCTTGCCTTTGGGTGAGTAGATGTGGGCATGCTGGGAAAAAATCAGCCCTTGCCCCCAGGAGGCACCCTGCCTGTCACCACTGAGAAGCTAGGACTTCTCGCTCCTCGGATGACCACTGCTCCACTACTAGTGGAGGGCAGAACAGAATTTACCACCCTGTGCCTTACTTTGTGTTAAGCTGAGAAGTCATTCCACTAGCGCACGTGGCACCCTGATTGTGGAAATGTATTCTCAGGTCCGCAGTGCAGGCTTCCCTGGTGTGTGGCTTGGAGCGGTTACAATCGATCATGGTTTACAGAGAATCTGGTAGTGTAAAACCTTCTAAACTTTCCTTTATTCTCCAACAAACTCGGGTGAGAGTTTTGTTTGTAAAGGGACAGGTGTGCTCATCCTTCCTTCCTCCCTTCTTTCCTTCTTTTTATCTTTCTTTCTGGCCGTTGTACGCTTTGATTAGATAAATAGCACTTGCTCCATGTTGTTGATTTCAGGAACGACCGCACATTCCTGCAGCTGGGCTGCCAGGCTTTTTTTTTTTTTTTTTGGTACCAGGGATTGAACTCAGGACCTTGTGCTTTAGAGGCTAGGCTTTTGAGCAAGGCCAAACAGTGGTCTTGCCCTTCCCAGCTGGTGCACAGCACAGAAACTGAGTGGACTTGGCTGTTATGGGGACATGAATGTGCGAAGGAAAAATACTGTTGATGTTGTGCTTTAAAGACAGTGATGTCTGCTGAGCCCCATGATGGTGACTCAACTTTTGTGTGCTGCAATTTGCATTTTTTTTTTTTTTTTTTGGTTTTGCGAGACAGGGTCTCACTGTGCAGTTGAGACTGACCTAGAATTCACTATGTAGCCCAGGCTGGTCTTGAACTCACAGCGATCCTCCTGCCTCGCCTCCCGAGTGCTGGGATTACAGGCGTGCGCCACCACTCCCGGCGCAATTTGATATTCGATAACAAAAGACTTTGCCTTTTTTCTCTTCCTGTGCTAATTAATATATTATAGCAAAAGCATTCATTCTTCTGAATAAAATAGAAACATATGGTGGAAAGTAACCCTTGAAGCAATGTACAGCATCTGCTAAATATGGGGACAAAAGTTGAGTTGGGCCAAGCGAAGACTTCTCTTAGTTGGATCAAAGTCCAGCAGGGGAAAACAGCACTGAGCAAGGAGGTATCCGGTCGAAAGCCAGAGGAGGGAGCCTTCCCTTCTCATTTCCGGCAAGGACCATCATTCACCCTCATGTGCTTGTAGGGATGGTTTAGGAAAGTCACAATAGCTATGGCACTCAGCTTAAAGACCTGATGAGTGCATTCCCTTTCCCTTTCTCTTCTACCCACAGATCATTCTGGGACATCATTAGCCTGATGAGTCTGTTTTCCCCTGATGTCCTGAGCCAGGCCTTGGGCCCTCCCATCAGCCTGTGTGTCCTCAGAGTGGCTGTGTTTGGTCTGCTGTGGCTGCAGCCTTCCAGCCAGCCTGGGCTGCCCAGAGGAGCAGATACTGTTTTGACAGACAGCCTGGCCTTTCTGAATGAGGAAAGGCAGGATCGAAGACAAAAAGCATGACGTGAACGCCATCTCCAAGGCTTTCGTGCCTCTGGTTTGGAGATAGGATGTGGAGGTTGTGTAACTCAATTTCTTTTGGACCATTTCTAAGCTACTGCATAGGACTATGAGAATCATTCCTTTTTTTTTTGGCTGGGTGGGGGGTACCAGGGCTCGAA